ATTGATGCCAGTGATCAGGCCAGCTTGTCAAATAGTGAAATCCCCCATTCTCTGAAAACTAAAAAATAAAATAAACAATAGGTCCCGTCTCGGCCTCCCAAAGTGCTGGGATTACAGGCTTGAGCCACTGCGCCCGGCCATGTGTAAACACTTTAAGCAATATTATTTTGCATGCTATATAATCATTCAAGTGCCTGAAATCCAACTCACCCTCTTTTTTCCTATTGACTCTTCCTCATGACAGATTATTTCTTTATATATTTTGTAACTTTTGTTTGACTGATCTTAAATTATGAAAATTGAGAAAGATTCTCAGCTTGGTGAAACTTCAGTCAGGCTCCTAAACCTCCTCTTAGGCCCATCTGTGTGCTTCCTCGTAAAATCCAGTTTTAGCAAAGAACCTTGCCGAGTCAATTCAGCAAGAATTTCCTGCACTTAGGATCCTCATCCTTCACCCTCCTCCCGGGGTCTGGTCACCCTGGCCCGTTTTTCGCAAAAATTCTGGTAGGTTGGTCTAGACAGAATCTTCCTCATCCCGATGTTTCCTCTCAGTGATTCTTCTCACTCACTCCTGCCCTGCTCCTTGGCTATAAATTCCCACTTGCCTGTGCTGGATTCAGAATTTAGCCCAATCCTTCCAGCTGCAAGACCCCATTGCAGTAGTTCCTATACTGATCTCCATAGTCCTGAGTAAAGTCTTCCTGATGTGCTTTTTAAATTTTTATTTGTTTATTTATTTATTTATTGACAGAGTGTTGCTCTGTTGCAGAGGCTGGAGTGCAGTGGCACAATCCGGCTCACTGCAACCTCCACTCCCAGGTTCACGCGATTCTTCTGCCTCAGCCTCGCGAGTAGCTGGGACTACAGGTGCCCACCACCACGCCTGGCTAATTTTTTGTATTTTTAGTAGAGACAGGGTTTTGCCATGTTGGCCAGGCTGGTCTTGAACTCCTGACCTCAAGTGATCCGCCTGCCTGGACCTCCCAAAGTGCTGGGATTCCAGGCGTGAGCCACCGCGCCTGGCCACCTGATGTACCTTAACAAATACCACTGAAACAGTTTTCTTTTCTGGCAGTGGGGTAGTCTCTCTGCATTCTATTTTTTTTTTTTTGAGACAGAGTTTCGCTCTTGTTGCCCAGGCTGGCGTTCAATGGCATGATCTCGGCTCACCACAGCCTCCACCTCCTGGGTTCAAGCGATTCTCCTGCTTCAGCCTCCGGAGTAGCTGAGATTGCAGGCACGAACCACCACGCCCGGCTAATTTTGTATTTTTAATAGAGGTGGGGTTTCTCCATGTTGGTCAGGTTGGTCTCGAACTCCTGACCTTGTGATCTGCTCGCCTTGGCTTCCCAAAGTGCTGGGATTACAGGAGTGAGCCACTGCACCTGGCCTCTGCCTTCATTTTTTAATTGCCAGTCATAATTTTTTCTTTCACAGAATCCGTATCTTAAACTTGGAAGGAATCTGCTGCATTTCCCTAGAGAGTATTTTGTTTTGTTTTGCTAGAGACAAAAGCAGTTACTGGGGCTTATAACACAGTACCCCTAAGTATGGCACATTGGTATTCTGGTTGTTTTTTAGCTGAAGGAGGCAGGAGTGCCTCAGAAGCCAGATGGTCTCTCTCTGACCTTCTCCCGCCCTCTCTGTCCTCCCACCTGCCTACCTCCCCACTCCCCAACCCCACTATTTCTCTCCTAAAGCAAGCCATGAAATTGAAAAAGATTACTCTCTGACTTACTTCTTCTGAAAGCAGGTCATAGACCCGTATGTGACATGGGTCCTGCCTGATACACAGAGGAAGGGAATGCTACACAGAGACACGAAGAATCTGGACAAACGGGTTATGCTGAGTTCCCCCAAGCAAACACATTTTTCCCTGAGTCTGTCTCTGTCATTCAAGCCAGAATGCTTTCACGCAATCCTAGTTGACTGCAATCCTCGTTGACTGCAGCCTGGACCTCCTGGGCTCAAGCTATCCTCCCACCTCAACCTCTTTAGTAGCTAGGACTACAGGTACATGCCACTATGCCTGCTAATTAAAAAAAAAATTTTTTTTTTTGGCCAGGTGCGGTGGCTCACACCTGTAATCTCAGGCAGATCACCCGAGGTAGGGAGTTTGAGACCAACCTGACCAATGTGGAGAAACCCCATCTCTACTAAAAATACAAAAATTAGGCGAGCGTGGTGGTGCATGCCTGTAGTCCCAGCTACTCAGGAAGCTGAGGCAGAGGCTTGCTTAAACCTGGGAGGCAGAGCTTGCAGTGAGCCGAGATCGCGCCACTGCACTCCAGCCTGGGCCACAGAGCAAGATTCCGTCGGGAAAAAAAAAAAAAAACAACTCAGTGTACCACATTTATTATAAATAGGTATTTTATTTATAAAGAACATTTTGGGCTGGGCGCTGTGGCTCACGCCTGTAATCCCAGCACTTTGGGAGGCCGAGACGGGCGGATCACGAGGTCGGGAGATCGAGACCATCCTGGCTAACACGGTGAAACCCTGTCCCTACTAAAAATACAAAAAAATTAGCCGGGCGTGGTGGCAGCGCCTGTGGTCCCAGCTACTCGGGAGGCTGAGGCAGGAGAATGGCGGGAACCCGGGAGGCGGAGCTTGCAGTGAGCCAAGATGGCGCCGCTCACTCCAGCCTGGGCGACAGAGCGAGAGTCCGTCTCAAAAAACAAAACAAAACAAACAGAAAATTGAGCTTGATATCTAAAAGGGTAAGGATGTTTACCCAAGTCATTGTATTTTCACACACTGCTGCACACATCACATGATTTGTCCCAAGAGTACAGCCAGCAACAGTCTGCTATTTTAGCAGGATGGAAAGGGACATCTTCCTCGTCCCGGGAGGAGGTTTGGGGACTGCACGCGCAATGTTGTGCGCATGCGCAGTCCGAGTCAACCGTCCTTTTTGGTGCCGGGAAATGCGCAGGCGCGTCATTCCGGCGCCGGCTTTGGCGGAGGGGCGGGGCTTGTGCCGGCGTCTCCTCTTCCAACTGCAGTTTGTGGCAGCGCCATTTTGAATGTGCGGCTGCCGCGGGTGTGAGTCGGCGGAGGACGAGTTGCCGACTCGTCTACATAGCGGTCTCTTGATTGTCGATATTTTGTTGCCATAGGTTTATCTAGAGACGTATACATATATATAGACACGCTATATAGAAGTCTAGGCCTGTATCCGGCGTCCGAGGCGAACTCCCTAAGATGATGTTAAGAGGAAACCTGAAGCAAGTGCGCATTGAGAAAAACCCGGCCCGCCTTCGCGCCCTGGAGTCCGCGGCGGGCGAGAGCGAGCCGGCGGCCGCGGCAGCCATGGCGCTCGCGCTTGCGGGGGAGCCGGCACCGCCCGCGGCCGCGCCGCCGGAGGACCACACGGACGAGGAGATGGGGTTCACTATCGACATCAAGAGTTTCCTCAAGCCGGGCGAGAAGACGTACACGCAGCGCTGCCGCCTCTTCGTGGGGAACCTGCCCACCGACATCACGGAGGAGGACTTCAAGAGGCTCTTCGAACGCTATGGCGAGCCCAGCGAAGTCTTCATCAACCGGGACCGTGGCTTCGGCTTCATCCGCCTGGTGAGTGGCAGGCCGCCCGCGCGAGGGAACAAAAGGGCTGCCGGGGCGGCCGCGGGGCCGTGGGCTGAGGCCCCCCTCGTCCTAGGACGCCGTCTCCGTGAGCTGTGGCCACCGTGGCGCCGCTCGGCCTCACCGGTTCCCCTGGGCGGGATTGGCCGCTTCCCCTCGGGTTTCGAGTTCGCGGTCCCGGGATTTCCTGCGCTCTCGGGGGCCGCCGTTTTCCGCCGCGCGCCGGTGGTGCTTGCGGTGGCTGCGGGCCTGCTGTCCGGCGCGGGCCCGGGCACGGTGCGCTCTGCTCAGGCCGCGAGCGCTCCAGGGTTCCCCGTTGCCCGGGTTCCGAAAGGGCCCGGGGGCAGGGGCGGGCGGCGTTTTGGGATGAGAATTCTTCAAGGCAAAAATGGTGCCATAATAGAAACGAAGTGAACGTCAGTTTGGAACGGAAGCTTGAGTCGCACCAGACGAATCACTGGTGAGGGTCTATCCGGGAGACTTGCTTCTTAGACAGTTATTCACATCCCATCCTTGGCTTCAACGACTCCTATATGCGTTTAAGGGTAGACCACTTTATTTCTTTCTAAATTAAATTTGTTTATTTTAATAGAAACGGGGTCTCGCCATGTTGACCAGGCTAGTCTCGAACTCCTGGGCACGAGCGATCCTCCTGCCTTGGACTCCCACTTGATTTCTCACCTCAGTGCAGCCTGCTTTTTACCTCAAACTGCTTAGGTGCCCAAACTCTGTACTCAAGTAACACCGTTTAATCTGCGGTAATGGGACGGTGTTTAATTTTATGTGTCTAATACAGTGTTTCTCTACCAAACATCCTGGAGAGTTCCACGTTTTTACAGGGGGAGAATAGATGATACACAGTACTACTTCATAAATTACTGATACATACCCTAGTATCAGAGTAATATAGCTTACTCTCTTGTAATCTAAATTTTGAAAAGTTTTCCAATAATTTATGCAAAAATTGTGATTCCTTTATATTTTTTAAAAATTTGAACAAGTCTGGCCAAACTCCATCTCTACTAAAAATACAAAAATTAGCTGGGCGTGGTGGTGCACGCCTGTAGTCCCAGTTACTTGGGAGGCTGAGGCAGAGGCTGCAGTGAGCTGAGATCACAAAACAGAACAAAAATAGCGAAGGTTTACGCCTTTTTTTTTTTTTTTTTTTTTTTTTTTTGAGACAAGGTCTCGCGCTATCACCCTAGGTAGAGTACAGTGGCGTGATCTCAGCTCCTGGGCTCAAGCAGTTCTCCTGCCTCAGCCTCCCGAGTAGCTGGGACTACAGTCATGCACCCCCAAGCCCGCCTAATTTTTGTAATTTTTTGTAGAGGCAGCGTTTCGCCATGTTGCCCAGATTGCTTGCGAATTCCTGGGCTCCAGCGATCCTCCCGTCTTGGCCTCCCAAAGTGCTGGAATTAAGGGTGAGCCACTGTGCCCAGCCTGGAGCTTTGACTTTCAAAATTGGGTTCTCTGTCTGGACGATACAAAATCTTAATATGTAGAGAAAATTGTAGTTACGTGGTACTGGATTTTTATTACTTTTTTCTTTTTTAAAAAATTAATGTACTTCTAAAACCTTTAAGATACTGTTTTTTTTGAGACGAAATCTTGCTCTGTCACCAGGTTGGAGTGCAGTGGCGGGATCTTGGCTCACTGCATCCTCCACCTACTGGGTTCAAGCGATTCTCCTGCCTCAGCCTCCCAGCTGGGACTACAGGCGCATGCGACCACGACCAGCTGATTTTTGTATTTTTGGTAGAGACGGGGTTTCACCCATGTTGGCCAGGATGGTCTCGCCCTCTTGACCTCGTGCTCCACCCTCCTCGGCCTCCCAAAGTGCTGGGATTTCAAGGATGAGCCACGGCACCCAGCCAAGAGACTGTATTTTTTAGGGCAAACATTTCAACATGTAAGCGGCTTCAAGAGAAGGGCAAATATTCACAACTGCTAATAATAATGAAATAGGGAAATTTCCTTAAAATTCGGGTTAAATAATCATTACATTTTGAATATTATAAATGCATTTCTTTATTTTTTGGACATTAGATAAACAGCTCGCCATTTGGTGAACATTTTTATGCAGAAGTTATGTTTTTTGGCCGGGCGCGTTGGCTCATGCCTGTAATCCCAACACTTTGGGAGGCTGAGGCGGGCGGATCACAAAGTGAGGAGATCGAGACCATCCAGGCTAACACGGTGAAACCCCGTCTCTACTAAAAATACAAAAAAATTAGCCGGGCGTGGTTGCAGGCGCCTGTAGTTCCAGCTACTCAGGAGGCCGAGGCAGGAGAATGGCGTGAACCCGGGAGGCGGAGCTTGCAGTGAGCCGGGATCGCGCCACTCACTCTAGCCTGGGTGACAGAGCAAGACTCCGTCTCAAAAAAAAAAAAAAAATTTACATATGGTAAAGGGCAAAAATTTTAAGTGTACTGGTTGGTGATTTTTTTTTTTCTTTTTTTTTCTTTTGAGACAGAGTGCCCAGACTGGAGTGCAGTGGCATGATCATGGCTCACTTGATCAAGCCTCGACTTCCTGGGCTCAAGTGATCCTCACACCTCAGCCCCTCAGGTTGCAGGGACCACAAGCACACACCACCACACCTGGCTAATTTTATTTGTTTTTTGTAGAGACAAGGTCTCTCATGTTGCCCAGGCAGGTCTCAAACTCCTGGGCTTAAGTGATCCCTCCGCCTCAGCTTCCCAAAGTGTTAGGATGACAGGTGTGAGCCACCATGCCTGGCCACTGGTTTGTGAATTTTGACAAATGTATATGTCTGTTTAACTCAAACCCCTATCAAAATGTACATGTTATTACCCCATAAAATGTCTTCATATTTTTTCCTATTCTCTCTTTCTTTTTTTTTTTTGAGACGGAGTCTTGCTCTGTCACCCAGGCTGGAGTGCAATTGCGCGATCTCGGCCGTTCATCCCAACACTATTCTTAAGCCAAAACAGGAAGAATCTTGAGGCGCAAGGAGTTTAGAGACCAGCCTAAGGTAAAACAGCAAGACCTCCGTCTTTATTGTCCCGTTAAAAATAAAAAATAAAATTAAAATAAAATAGGGCGTGGGTGCAACCCAAGTGGCTCATGCCCTGCAATTTGTCCCAGCAGCTTTAGAGGCCCGAGGGGCAGATCACGAGGCTCAGAGTTCCGAGACCCCTAGCCTACCAGCAATGGTGAAACCCCGTCTCTACTAAAAAACAAAAAAAAAAAAAAAAAAAAAAAAATTAGGCCAGGCATGTACATCTGGCGGCTGTAGTCCCAGCTACTCCCCGGAGGCTGAGGCAGAATCTGCTGAACGCCGTGAGGCAGAAGAAATGCAGTCAGCTGAGACAGCGCACTACAACCACTCAGGCCCTGGGCAATAGAGGCCAGAAAACGCATCTCAAATAGATAACTAAATAAACGCCAAATAACACAGTATAACAGCATATTATATACGCATTTTACATTGTACTAGGTATTTAAAGATCTAGAGATGATTTAAAGTAACCAGGAGGATTTGCCATGGGTAATATGGAAAAACATGCGCATTTTACACCAGTATAAGGATTTAAGGCCAATCACGAATTTAGTACTGGCAAGGAGTGCCTAAAAAGAATCAATCCCCCAGAATCAATCCCCCCCAGATACTCGAGGATGATTGGCATTC